AAATTAAAGTGAAATCTATTGGTGGTTTTTATAATTTTTTTTTAAAAAAATCATTTTTAAAAAATATTATTGAACATTATTATAATTCATTAGGAAATATGCAGTAATCTAACTTTTATAATTCATATTAGTTTGTTTTATTTGTTAAAGGAGTTCTTATCTACCATTAAAAATTTATTCAAGGTAAATGTATTTTTGTGTTACATATTTTAAATACATATAACCTATATGAATTATGGATGAGTAAACGAAAGAATGATATTATATTGTAGTATATATATAAGTTCAATTAAAAATTTAGAATTTATGAACATAAAATTTTTGTGAGAAAACATTGATGTCTGTTTTAATATGACATGACCCTACATCATTTATCAAGTCATGATTCATGACGACACGCGACAAAAATTATGACACATGGCATGATTACAATTCTTCCCATGACTTTTAATATATATATATATATAGATGAAATCTTCAATTATTTTTGGTGGAAAATAATCTTAGATAAAGAAATTCTGGAAAACCAATATTTTTGAAATAATTGGACAATAAATGCGTGTTAAAAAATCAATTATTAACTATCTATTACCAATTCATAACTTACCATGTTCTTTATATTTCAATGATGTGTTACTTTATAATTTAATGATGTTCTTTACATTTATAAGTTATGTTCTTTCTGCTTTAATCCGGATGTACCATGAGCATGGTCGTACACCCGAGTGTACGAACCAACCATTGTTTTGTAAATAGTGTAAAAGTCAAATGGTGTCAACTAAAAAAATGAAGGAAGTATAAATAGTTTTTTAATAACATATTTCTTGATAAAATTTAATTTAATTAATTACTTGTTGCTTGTTCGAAGGCAAATGAAAAATTCTCAAATCGACAAGATCAAACATGAAAGATTTACTTAATGTTTAATATATTCTCTTTGTAACAAAAGAACTAGTAAGTTCATAATACATTTTAAGAACTTATTAGACCTTGTTATTAGACTTGCTTAGAACTTATTGAAACTTACTAAACCTTATTTAACTTATTATCTTTATTTAACTTATTTGATCATATTGAACTTATTAGACTTTATTAAACTTATTGAACCTTATTATAACTTATATGAACTTATTAGATCTGAAACTTATCTATTTTGAAAGGTGAAGAGAACAAACTTTTAGTTATTTTAAAATAATGTCAAACTAATGCATTTATGACAAATTTAATGATGTATGTTACTCTATTACGAAGTATTATGAAACGGAGGAGTAATACTTTATCACAAACCCTATTCTAAAATTCCTTCTATCAGATTTAGAGCAAAAAAATAATAATCTAGGGCCTCATGAGTCATGTGAGCTAAGACTTGAAGAAATAAGAATTTTTTGACATCTACTCTTCAACGCACGAGAGGATGGTCTGGCTGGCTTATGCTTTGGCAATTACGGAGTATTTAATGTAGATCCAATTTCGTTCATGCGGCAGTCGAGGTGACTTGATAGCTCGATTAACAAAGTAACAGTAAGATTCATCACGTTTTCTGCAGAAATAAATATTGAGTAACTAAGAATTAATGTTGACAGCAATATCATACATACTATTTGTACTTTGTTCGATTTGATGAATATTTATGTATTTTAAATTTGTAGATTTTGGTTATTTTGGGTTAAAAACCATATTTAGTCTTTTTCGTGACTTAAGGTGTTCTATTCATCTACTCCCTCAATTTTTTTATTTTATTTTTTTTGCATCACTTTTTTTATGGGTATTTTTTTTTTATTTGCATCACTTTTATATATATAGTAACATTATACTTTATTTTATTATTTGTCTCTCTTACTTTAAACTCAACTCAAATTAATTTATCATTTATCTCTTTAATGGTCCCCACTACTCTTTCAATCTTTCATATATATTCACTTTCATGGTCCCTATATTACTTTTATTATAATAATTTATTCACTCACTCACATTATTAATTCATTCTCCTAGAACTCCGTGCATTTGCAAGTGCTGCAAATAAAAAGAAAACGGAGGGAGTAATTTTTACTTATCTGAAGTAATATGAACTTATTAGACCTTATTAAAATTTATTTTGGTTGTAATTTAAATTTGGACAACTTTTATCGGAACTTATTTTTCCTAAACTGAACTAATTTTAATTTAAGTGAATTAATCTAAACTTATTAAACCCTTAAAATAAGTGAAAATAAAGTGGACAAAACAGACCCTAATTTTGTTTTTTTTTTTTCCGTAAATTTAGTGGTTTTAATTAGGGTGGTAGTGGGTGGTTGGTGTGAGCGAGTTTTCGGTTGAGTTAGTAAGGTGTGGGTGGAGGGTGGTGGTGGGAAGCAGAAGCGGAAGCGGGTGGGAGGCATTAGGGGGGTTTCATTTTATAATACTCACAATTGTAATTTGCGATGGTATGAGTGTTAGTGAATATTATTTGTGAAAATTGTATAGTACACCAGGGTGTACCATGCTCATGGTAAACCTAGTGTTAAATGATGTGTTTTTAACATTTCATTTGCAAGACGTCAATTTGTTAATAATAAAAAAAAAAAAAATCAATCTCTTCCACAATTCATGGGATTCAACGTGACATTCTCCATTTATACATAACTTTCAAAATTAAATTTCACCCTATTTCAATTTTGAATTAAAAGAGAATAAAGTTTATAAAGAATTTTGTAGAGAGAAAAATACAGAGTAAATTATGATAACATTGTACTCGATTGATCGGAGAAGGTAATTTAATTTTATTTGTTAATATTTTAATTTTAGGATTTTGCTTATTAGGTTGATTATATTTCGTTATTATTTTGCAGGATTATTGTAAAATACCGTTGTTTTTTTTTTTCAATTTTGATGTTTATGAATTTGAGATCCATGTGACACAGGTTGAAGATGATGTTCTTTTATTTTGTCAAAGGTTGAAGATGATGTTCTTTATATTTTGTCAAATGTTGAAGATGGTGTTCTTTATAAATTGTACTTATATTGGTCATTATAGTTATTGAACAATTATATGAATGTTCTTTATTTTTATCCTTAATGTTTTTTGCTTCGATGTTCTTTGATTTATTCTATATTTTTATATAATATATCATTTATTAATTCTATATATTTTTTTAATATGAACAACCACTAACTACGTATATGTATTTTAAAAATCAGGATCGTGAAGGTTGATGACGATATTCTTTTGAGATCTCCTCTATTGATGATTGTTTTTCAGATCTAAAGAACATCCGTAATATTATTAAAGAACACGATAATATTATGTAATGAACATAACTTATATATATACCTACCACTATTGAAAGACAAAATTCAAAGAACATTTCACAATAAGCAATGATCATTACGTGACGATAAAAGTACATTGCAATTACAATAAAAAAAATTGACAACTAAAATAAACTATCAAAAAATCTAATAAAAATCATTATATGATATAATTATGGACATAAGGAAAAAGATATAGTTTTAAAAAATAATTGTACATTACAAACAATTATAAAGTACATCATGTTTTCTAATAGAGAACATTATTAAATCACATATAAAACATCACAAAAAATTAATAAATACCATCCCTAACATGAAAATTGTAACTATATATAGTAAAGGTAAAAAATATGAACGAAATACTTAAAAAGAAAAATTGAAAACTAAAATTTTGAAAAAGAAATTTTATAAATTTAAAATTTGAAATTTTAAAACGAAACCTTAAGTTATTTTAGGTGAAATAATTTTAGAGAATAAAAATTATTTTTTTATAAAGAACATTATATAGTCATATAAAGAGCCTCAAAGTACACAGAACAATCATTAAAATAAATATTATAATTAAATTTTTTTGAAAGATTGGTGAAAAATATGAATATATATATATATATATATATATATATATATATATATATATATATATATATATATATATATATATATAAAGAAAGGAAACTAGATATAGTATTTTGGATAATAACATTTTGAAAACGAAATTAAAATTTTAAAATTTAAAATTCGAAATTCAAAATTCAGGTGTACCATCCTGGGTGTAGGAACCACGCATTGATTATTTGCGAGCATTACAAAAATTTTGCTAAAATTCCAAAAAAAAATGTCGTTAAAGGTACAATGGTTTAAAAACCGCCGTAAAAGTCCTTTTGCATGCTAAATTACGAAGGAAGATTATTGTTGTTGGCATTTTTTGCAACGGGTTTTAGATCGTCGTAAAATAGCCGGATCTTGTTGTATACAACATGCATGTGACAATTTTAACCGATTAAGTTAGTCATAATAATTAGGGATTTTTAAGGACTTTTCTAAAGTTAGGATTGCCATGAGTTAATAAATAGTTGAGATTTTTTTTGAAGAAAAATGTCCATAAATAATTAGGTCTAACAATGTCAATAATTTTTTCCCTAGCTTTTAAAAGTATGAGAACGCTCTTATCCTGATTCTTAGCCGGTGCGGTCTGAGCAACTGCGCGCTTTTCATGTGGGGCTTCAAAGCTGTAATGCATTATATAAATAATGTGTGACAAGTAATAGTCGTAGCTTAAGTGTTGTCATCTCTCGTGCATCACTTCACTTTAAAAAATAATATTTAATAAAAATAATTTCAGTTCAATAAATTTAATTTCAATGCAATAAAAATAATTTCAGTTCAATAAAAATCAGTAATGGTAATGAAGAAATATCATAAAGAATCAGTAAAAATAATTTTAGTTCAGTAAAATTAATTTCAGTTCAGCAAAAATTATTTTAGTTAATTAAAAATAATTTTAATTCAACAAAAATAGGGCAAAGTGAATGGAACCTTAGCTTAGCAGTATGTTTAATGTGAAAGTTTATTATGTAGAAATAGGATATATTTTCATTATTTTTTTAATGGTTAATGTTTAAGTGTAATGATCTTTTAAAATTAATTAGTAGACTAGACAAATATAAAAATCAAAGTTAAGTGTATAAATAATGAACATATATATTAACTCTCCGTATAATGCTTCAAGTCTATAAATATAGTTGTGGTTTGCCCTCATAAAGTACTGAAGTTGCATTCTTTAAAAAAAAAAAGTATTGAAGTTGCAGGCTTAAAGCCATCTTCTCTTAAAATAGTGCGTAATTTCAAATACACACAAAGGATCGGACCTCATGGCAACTGCAACAATAATGCCTCTTCAAGCCAGTGTCGTGGTTAGACCTCATGCTCATTTCCCACCAGACATTTGGGGGGACCGATTCGATAATTTTACCAACGATGATATATTGGTTAATTCTATCTCTATGATTTAACACTCTTGTTTATTACGAAGTATTAAGAGTATTTTTTTCACTATTTTGACATTTACACTATTTATTGAACTTGATTTTTTATTGCTCAATCTGTGCATCATAGTTAACTATGTTCAAGAGGCTATTTTAGTTTGGTTTTATGTTACAAATTTTGTTGTTGAAATGAGGGAGAATATATGTAAACAAATAATTTTAGGGATAAAAATATTTGCACACTACTCTTAATAAAGAGTTAAAAATAGATGCAATTAACATTAATGAGGGAAAATAAATAATTAAATTTTTTAGATGGTATAATTGGTCCAAATGTTAATAATATAAGTTATCTCAAATATTTTAAAAGGTAGGGATATACTCTTTATAAAAACAAGTTATTATGTATTTCATCTGTCCCATAATTGCAGCCAACTAACCGCATTGCAAAAGTAGCACTTTAGAGGCATATTGGTATAAAAATTATTACAACCAACAAATTGATTTTAAAGTTAACAAACTGCGACAAATTAAATTGGTATAATAATACTCCTACTGTCCCCTTTTGATAGTCTCTTATGGGCAGATTTTAGTCCCAAAATGTTCATCCCATCTGCTTTTTCCATCAACCATTAATATTAATTTTTTACCAAAATTCCCTCCAATTTGCTACAATACTTGTGCAAATTTAAATTTCCCATGTAAATTTTGTTTTCCCATGTACTTTTATTACTTTCTCTCTCTACTTTTTTGCATACCCAATATCAACTTACAATTTCAATGTATTTTAACTATTCTTATTTGTGTTTATTAATTCCCTTGAAAAATGTCCATAAGAGACTATCAAAAGGGGACGGAGGGAGTAACTATTTAATTTATAAGATTATACGACTGCACTTTTTTTTTTTTTCTTATAGTAGTAATTGCTTAATTATTAATTTATTATTTTTGGCTTTAACTGTTGTCAATACTCATTTAATGTCAAATAATTCTCCCTTTCATGATCTTAGACCTAAAATTATTAATAAATAATAACAAAGAAAATGTATGATTAAACAAAAGGGAGAGGGCTTGGTTTCGAGAGTCGGGTTGGATAGGGTAGGGTTGGTAGTTTTGAGACTCGGGGTGAGATGGGTGGGTTAGTGGTAAGATGGGTGTTAAAGGGTCGGCCGTCAGTTTCGGTGGTTAAGGGGCAGTGGTCGGACGATTTTCCGGTGAGATGAAGGCATAGGTTAGGGTTTGACGATGGGAGAAAGTGGCTGGGATATTTTGGGGGTTTTTTTTTTTTTCCTTTATCTGTTTTTAATGATTTTTATTTTATTTTTATTTTTAAAATATTTTGAACCAATCACATGTTGACACATGTCATGGTTATCTTTCATAATAGGTCATTAACCAGCCATTGACCGGTTAAAATTATTGTTGGAGGCAAACTCATAGCAAAGTTAAGATTATTAAAAAAATAAAAATCTTTGTTGTAATTATTATAAATAAATTGTCTACAATTGTTAAAGTGTATTTTTCCTAATTCTTAAGCATAATATTTTTCCTCTTTTTCTTTCAATAGAGTCCAAAGATTATTTTTTTTCCTACAAGTCCAAAGAGTATTTGAAGCAGAGAAAGTAAAGTAAAGAAAAGAAAATAATAGAATAAAGTTATACAAAAATAAGAATAGTCATGTGTATAAAAATGTTCACTATGAGCTTATTCCAAGAAGAAAATAGGGTTAATAAACATCTTTACTTGCAAATTACACAACTATATAACTATTTGCCAACTCTTATACCTGTTGTCATTTACTATAACTTTTATACCAATATTTTGTCATTTTCTAACCTTTATACCAATTTTTAATTGATAATAACTTCTATACGAATATGGTTAAATGGCCTTCTATTTGCTAAATATTAATGTCGTACATTTAACCTTTTAATTGCATATTAACAACAATTAGAAAAGTTGAATAGTTGATATTTAAAAGTACACATTGAGACGAATCTACCAAAAATATGTATCACATAATAATCATTTTTAAAAAAAATTTGTGTATATCAATGAGGATTGGTAAAAAATTTCATGCTCGTTAGACCATAAAAATAGAAGTGAGAACTACTCCGTATATATATACTATGGGATAGAACGTACATAATATTTTATTGGATTAGCCACAATAATATTTTATAATAACAACTTATTATACTTCGTAATATTTAATATACAATTACAAATATTACAATATTATACTTCCTCCGTTCTTTATTACTTGACCCGCTTTGACTTTTACACTATTTACCACCCCTTCTTTGACCGTCTTTTGTGAATAATATGTAAGGAAAAATATATTCATGTATGATTTTTTTTGGATTCGTCTCAATAAGTACTATCATAATATATAATTTTTATAATATTTACTTTTGGAGAATTTAAGTTATTGATCGTTAAAGTTTTGCATTGGCAAGCGTGATAAAAGAAACAGGTCAAGTGAAAAAGAACAGAGGAAGTATTGTTAATGGTCAAAGTAATGTATCTACTATTAGTAAATATGCTGTCAAGGTATAGCATACAAAAGAATTTATATATCTTCCGTGATTTAGGCCGTGTTCACTTTACCTTAAAAAAAATAATATTCACTAAAAATAACTTCAATTCAGTAAAAATAAGCTCAGTTCAATAAAATTAATTCAGTTCAGTAAAAATAATTTCAGTTTAGTAAAAATCAGTAATTGTAAAGAAGAAATACAATAAAAAAAAATCAGTGAAAATACTTTCAGTTCAGTAATAATAATTTCAGTCCAGTAAAAATAATTTAAATTTAGCCAAAATAATTTATGTTCAGTAAAAATAATTTCATTTCAACAAAAAAAGGTGAAGTGAATGGGTCCCTACTAATACGAAGTATTTGTCTATTTTCATGTGTCTTGTGTTAGTAATCTTTCACTATTTTTATTTTCTTACAATTGTTACTTGTTGATATAGTAGTCTAGTACGCATAAACAAAGCGTAAAGTAAAATGTAAGCAAAGTACCTCGTAACATTGAATATGTTTTGTTGTGTTCATTGACTTTTTTAATTAGTATGTACTCTAAGCTTAGGGATACAATCAAATAAGTAACATTGAATACTACTCCCTCCATTTTTTAAAAGAGGGTTCCGATTGCCATTTTAGACGTTCTTCTTCAATTGTTCGTTACATTTAAGTTATTTTCTAGAGTAATTTTTTTTTTCTTAACATGCACATTTCCCTCATGCATATCACAAATTCCACGCAACTATCTTTATTTATCAAATGAAAAAAATTGCATATTTCCAATGTAATTATTACTCCCTCCGTCCCCCAAAACTTCAACTATTTTAGCCTAATTTTAGTCTCAAAATGATCGACCCATTTGCATTAAATACCCACTAATTTACAACAATATTTGTGTAAAATTAGCTTTCCAATAAAATTTTGTTTTTTCGTGTATTTTTAATAATTTATCTCTCTACTTTTACAAATCCTATGTAAATTTATCTTTCCAATATGTTTTTATTTCTTTTTATTTAAGTTCTTAATGACTGCGAAATCAACCCAAAATGGTAAAAGTTTTGGGGACGGATAGAGTAAATGAGTAATATTTATAGAAATAAAAATATTTACCTATGCTCAATATATGTATATCACAAACTTTTAAAAAAAATCAGGTGTACAATAATTATTGTACATCCATTATAAAGATAACCTAAAGTGATTAAAAGTTACCCTTGAAATGAATAAAAGTTACCCCAATATGAGTTAAAGTTAAAGTAACCCAATTCAAATAAAAATTATCTACGCTTTATTAGTAAAGAATAAAATTTTAAATGACTAAAAATCAATTATTAGTGATTGAGTGTAATTAAATTACCTTTATAAAACTTTTCTTGTTGTTGATTTATATAAAAATTGTATTATGTTTAAAGTTACCCAAAAAAAGATAAAAAGTTACCCTAAAACTAGCTAAAAGTTACCTTTATACTGCTCGATGTACACAAATATTAGTGTAAACCGGATATATACAAAAGTTTTTGTATGTATATACGCCTGATTTCAAATTTAATTTAATGTTTAAAAGCTTGATGTATGCGACATCTAATCATTGCTTTTTACTACATTACGGGATTTATTTTCCTTATTAAACTACAATACCACCAAACATGACTTTCTTTCGGAAAAGGCGGGAGTATTCCGTATTATACTAATGTTGCATGGTAAAAAATTCTTGCAGAAGATGGAAAGATATGCTAAAGAAACTGAACCGTTGAAAAAGGAAGTGTTGTTGATGCTCATGGACGACTCTAACCATTTGGGAAAGACAATGAGACTGATTGATGCAGTGGAACGTCTGGGGTTCCCCTATTTATTTGAGAACGAAATCAAAAAGTTGCTGGATAATTGTTTCAATGAATTTGCTTTAGATAATTTCAAAATGGACTATGATTTATGCAATACTTCATTACAGTTTCGCGTATTAAGACAGCATGGTTACAAAATGCCTTGTGGTAAGTGATGCAATAGCAGCATAGATCTTGTTATATTCATTGAAATTCCATTTTTTTTTATCATTAATAATATCTAGTTCAGTATGCTTTAACTGTTATATAATAATTGACATGCTTTAACTTTTATCATGATTTTGACTATTTAGTATCTTTAATATTTGATTTATACTTCATAGTTCATTAAATTAAAATGTTAGTGAGTAAAATGTTGGGTTCATTTTAATGTACATTATTGAAATATCATATTTAAAAAAAAAAAAATTAAATACGGAGTACATAATTATTAAAGATACTACCTCTGTTAATGATTATCTGCAATTTTGGGGTTATTAAAAGTCCAGTCAAAGATATGATAAGTGAGAGTGAGGTAAAACTCGGGTGGCTAGAGCTTCATTTTGATTCTAAGGAATTTTGAGATTGATTCTCATCACTTGCTCTTGTGACTCTTAAAAAAAAAAAAAAAAAAAATTGTAAAAAATCAAAGTGAATCATTTGTTATGTAAAAGAGGCAGTAAACTAGAAAATTGGAATAGAAAAAAATAGAAAGCAACCAAATTTGATAATAGATGTATAAATGATTATGCTAATTAAATTGCAATAACAAGCGTTTATATATACCTCCAAACTAAGATTTACAAGAATATTGCAGATGTATTCACCAAGTTCACTAATGAAGAAGGCAAGTTTAAAGAAACACTACGGAGCGATACAAGGGGTATGCTAAGCTTGTACGAAGCCGCACATTTAAGGATACATGATGAAGACATCCTCGACGAAGCCCTTATTTTCACTACTGATTCCCTCAATGCCGTTGCATCAACCTCCGAGCAAGCACGCTGCGCATTGAAGCAACCGTTGCAGCAAGGTATTCAAAGGGTGCAAGCTCGCCATTTCATTTCATTTTATGAGGAAGATGAGTTTCGGAATGACAAGCTTCTACAACTTGCTAAGATTGAATTCAATAGATTGCAGTTGTTGCACTGCCAAGAATTGAGCCACATCCAAAAGTCAGTATATTTTTAACACCCCTTGCGTCCTTTTAAGTTTTAATTATAGGCATTGTTCTCATTGACTGAAATTAGCTCAATTGAACTGAACTGATTTTATTAGAGCTAAACTGAACTGAACTGAACTTATTAGAGCTGAATTGAACTGAAATGAATATTTTATAAGCGAAAGAAATTTGGAGCTGAAATGAACTGAACTTAACTTATTATAGTTGTAGTGAACTGAACTGAACTTATTAGAGCTAAACTGAATTGAACTACATTAAACTAAAAATAATCGTATGAGAACAAACCCTAACTAAGGTTAAAAAAATTATTATTATTATTATTTATTTAATTTTTATTACATTAGCTTAAGGAATTTTATTTTTTATTCCGTTCAGGTTTAATCTTCTTTGATTTGATTTTTTTTTTTTTAATCTGATTTGGGTTGAATGTTTGTAGTTTGGATGGTCTGATTTTTAAGGGCCGGGGTTGTTTAACAACAACAATATTTTTTATCGTTATCGCCAACATTTGGTGTGTATGGGTTGTTATACCTTTACTATTTCAGCACCACCTTACCAACACTTCCCCCCTTACCACCCCTTCTCACTGGCGACCCACGACCTTTCTCTCACCGGCGACCCATCACCTCCTAATCATAAACGGGGAGGTGGCCATTTTTTTTGGGCGGCCTACACAACAAGCTCAGCGCCAACCGGTCCAAGATCAAAGCCACAACTATATAAGCTTCACACTCAATTTCTAATGAGCAATTTTCATCCTCATCATTAATTACCTTTTAAAAAGAATTTTTTTTAAAAAAATGATTTATTAAATTTATCTATTTAATTCTAAAAAGAACTCCCACAACTATATAAACTCATATGTTGCAATAAAACGAATGAATTATGCTAATTAAACAAAGAGGGAAAAGGGATTCTTTCCTCTCCCTCCCCTTCGTTCTCCCAATTCTTTATCCAAACAAGAGAGTACGTCCCCCTCCTTTTCTTTTCCGTTCTTTTCCTTCCATTTCCTTAGTATGTGCTTTGTAGTATATAGTAATAGAATCATAGATCGATGCTAGACAAAGGACTAATATTGATCAAAAAGTGTTTTTATTGATTAGAACTTGAAATGTTGATAACTGCGTAGGTGGTGGAAAAGCTATGATTTCGTTAAAAGGCTTCCTTATGTTAGGCAAAGAAGCGTGGAGTCGCACTACTGGGCGGTAGCGACGTATTACGAGCCTTGTTATTCTTTTACAAGAGAAATGTATACCAAGTATTTCATGGTCTTACTTGTTTTAGATGATACATACGATGCATATGGAACGTTTGAGGAGCTCCACCAACTTACGGATTCGTTTCACAGGTGTTATAATTAAATACCTAATTAGTTCGTTATTCGTAGTTTGAAATTTTCACGATTCAATACTACTTGCCCATACAAACTTGAATATTCATATCGTTACATATATAAGTGAAACTCGTGCAGGTGGGATTTGAGCTTAGTTGAACAACTTCCTGAAGATTATATGAAAATTGTGTACGAATTTGTCATTAATACTTGCGATGAGCTTGCTAATGAAATGACCAAGAGAGGAAAACCATATGCGGCTCATTTTGGAAAAGAGCTAACCCTTTACTCCTTTAGTAATAACTTTATGTATTGAATGAAATTTTGAATGTAATGTGTTACATTACTGTGAATTTACATGCACTACATTTAAGCTTATGGCCGGTTGAGCAATATTCCACTTGAAAGTGGGGGGTGGATGAGATTTGAACCTGTGACCTTTGTGTCACATTGGCTCTAATACCATGTTAAAGGACCATTTCAACCAAAAGTTTTAGCTTATGCTACGGTTGAGGTCCAGGAATTTGTTTTATACTTTGATGGACAAAATGAGGTTACTAGATTAAATTATCCAAATTAGAGATCAATAGCTTAGGAATTTATGCTTACTATTTGGACGTTTGGTTACTAGTACAAGAATTGAGGACATACTTGTTTCAAATAACAGGTGTTGAAATTGATAAGGAACTATTACATTGAGGCGAAGTGGGTTAACACAAGGTATGTGCCAACGTTTGAGGAATACATGGTGAATGGGAGAGTCACTGCTGGAGTCCAAGTATGTGTGACTGGATCTTTGCTTGGAATGGATGAAGTTGCAGAAGAAAAACCATATGTGCAGTTGATGGAAGCCCCTAAGGCCGTCGAAGCTTGCGAGTACATTGTTCGACTCATGGATGACGTGGTTACTGGTGAGGTACGTATTAGCTAGAAAAACTTGCTTAATCGAGTATACATTATATTTTCTTGTAAAAAATACTCAGCTAATAAAAAATAATTTCGCAAAATTAACACTTTCAAACTCATTATATTTTTATCTAAGAACAAAGAAAGATGCAAATTAAATTCAAATTTAATAATGATAAGTTTCAAAGAAGATTGAGAGATTAAGCTATTGTAAAGATCATTAATTAAACACTAATGCAACCCAAGCTAGAAGATTTTATTTATCTATCTACATATAAGTGTTTATAGAACTCAACTTAACCAAAAAATAATTGTTCAAACCATTGCTAAATGAGATTCAAGACTTCATGAGCAATGGACGTTAGCTAGATAATTATAAGTTCTAGAAAGAGGTATACAAACACGAGTAAAAGATCGTTAAATCATGCTCTTTGAGGCTCTCGATAGATCTACCAATATATATATGCTAATGTGCGAGTGAGTCATATATGTGAGCGAGCAAATGTAAAATATGGATCCGAGTTAGTAATGAACTAATGATTGATCCTTTACCACATGTAAAAACAGGCAGAGCTAACTAGAGGATGTCGTTTGGCCACAAGTGTGGAATGCTACATGAAGGATTACAATAAAAGTAAAGAAGAAGTGTTGCAAATATTCAAGAAAAAGATGGAAAATGCTTGGAAGGATTTGGCCCAAGAGGGGTTGTTGACAAACCAAAGCCCTAGTGACTTTGATCACTTCTCCAAGCCGGTTTATGATCGAATCCTTAACTATGGACGTATTATGGATGTCATGTACAAGGTCGCCGATGGCTACACTTTACCAGAAGCCACAATCAAGAAAGACGTAATCATAACCTATTCTCAACCCTTCTCAATCTAAATTGGGCTTGTTCTTATGCAAGTATCCTTTGCAAAAATGCCAAATACATACGGAGTATTAAGTTCTATGATGTGTTATAGTATTGCAAAAGTAATTCTTAAACTTTCTTTAATTGGTTTCTAGGATCGTTGGATGATTCTACTTGCTCAATAAGGGTGAGGTTTTGCATCTGACAAATACATGTTTGTAAATTTTTTTTTTTTCTTTTTACGTTGAATACTTGATTGGATTTTCCAAACTCCAAAGTATAATGGAGAAGTTGCCATTGTTCTTTGAGCTTAACTTGTGTGCTAAATGAGCTCCATAAAAGTTGGATGGATTCCGTCATTCCGTGAGTGACTAGCACACTTCAAGAAATTCAATAAAATAAGTTTTCCACAAGATGAAAATTCTACAGTGTTAAGTTGACTACTACAATTTTTGAATTACTTTTAGAAAATTTTGTCATAAACCATCTTATAAAAATTTGTAATTATTAATCCCAATTTTGAACCATTTACTTTAATTAATCCCAATTATTGATTATTCCTGAATAATCCCAACTATGGAGGGGTATTGACTTTTATCAGGCCTTACCGGTTACCAAACCTGTTGTAGCAAGTCATTTGCCATGTGTTAGGGTGCCAGCACACCATTGCTTAAAAAAAAAAATTTAAAAAAAAAAATTTAAAACCAACATCTAAAAAAACAAATAATAAACATACTCATTCCCCAATTCAGCAACCTCCACAGCCGGCGCCACCAGCGAACCCTCTCCCATCGAAAATATTGCAGTCCTACCCAAAACCCTACCCCGCCCTTCCCCCCAGTTATCATCTTCCATCCCCGCCTCCGAAACTGATAAGTCGTATATTGAGCGTGTTTTTAGAGTCCATTTAGGTAGTTTTCAAGCCTAGATTAGTTGTTCATAGCTTATCTTAGCTTGATTTGTTTTGGTTGTGATCATGTTATGATTTTATGGGTAGTTTCGTTATTTTTGATGTATTTCAGGATGAACGAGACTAATTTAGATGGTCATAAGAGTTTATTAAGATGGAGGAGTGAAATCCCGTGTCCGCCCTGGCAGGGAAACATTGCCCTGGCAGCCAGGGCAAAGAAAAGGAGAAGAGGTTAGCAAAGTATAACTATGAAGTTTCTTCCTTCCATCTCCCTGGCAGGGCAGCATTACCCTGGGAGCTAGGGCGGAGAGGAAATGTGCTATTATAAGCTTCGGAAATCAGCATTCATGGAGTATGCTTCTCGCGCCCGACCGGGCAACATTGCCCTAACAGACCGGGCAGATGAAGTACGAAGATTGGAGGCTTTAGAAGAGCCGCAAGATGTGAGAATGCTTCTCACGTCCGACCGGGCAGTATTGCCCTGGCTGCCCGGCAAGGTTTCAGGAACCTCATTTTCCTATTTTTCGGGCTTTCTTATTTTAGGGGTTATAAATACCCTTTGTTAACCCCGATTAAAAACACTTAGTTATTATTTTGCAGCTTTTAAACCTTCATTAGAACCCTAATATTCTCTCTAGATCTAGATTAATTTACACTTTCAAGTTTTGATAATTGGTACTTTTTTTCATTCAAGTAGTTGGTATTCATATTTACGTTCTATTTTACTTTTAATTGCCTTTTAATCATGTTTTCTTCATTGAATATTGTTTTTGCTTTCGTTAATATGTGTGAGTAGTTTCTTTATTCCAAGATCCAGCGGAACCCGAATATGATTGATGTATGATTTAATTCTTTAAATTCTCTAATGATAATTGCAATTGATACGCTTAATTGATTGTGCTGATGCCAATAGTAGATTAGGGATATAATAATTAGTATTGTTATTAGTCCGTTGTTTTAATCGCAACGGGAGTTTGGTTTTGACGGGTTTGAATAAATCAATTAAGGGTTTGAAGTTCATCACGGGAGTAGTTGAATGGATGACTAGGAAGTTAGAGTAATGCGCTTAAAGTCTTTAATTTGCATGATTCCACGAAAGTAGGCTTGATTGTGATTAGGGAGGCCATTGATAACTCGGGAGAGACCATTAGTATTACTTAAGGATTACTTTTCCTCAATAATCAATTGAATTATATGTTAGGGGTAGAAAGTCTATTATATTAATTGTATTCGTGGTGATGCTTTATCTTGGATGTTTTTATCATTGATTTGTCATATTGGTTAGATTTAATCGTTTTAATTAGTTCTTTAGACATTAATTCTTACTTATTTGAATTGGTTACTTGCTTAGTAATTGCTTGAGTCTATTTAATTAGTTAAACCATAGTCTCTTGGGATCCGACCTTGCTTTCCAGTCTACATAGTAGTGGTATAGTTAGGTTTATTTTTGTTAGGTACGCGACACACCTATCATAAACTCTTCCCCTACTTACCCATAAAACGCCCCATTCCCTTCCACTTCTTCGATTTTGTTGCTCCACCGCGACGCACGCTCCAGGAATACGATTGCGACGCGTGCACCAGGCAATAATGGTGGTTGTTTGGGAGAAATTGCAGTAGCTAGTGGCCGGGTTGGGGTTCAATTTTCGCGGTGGAACAAGCAAAGGATAGTGGTTCGCAAGCAGGGAACAGGTTGTGTGGGAGGGATTTCCAATAGGGGGGATGTGCGCGAGGGAGGGATTTTCCGGGATAAGGGAGGGTCGATGGCACCGGCTGGGGGTGGAAGCGATCACCGGCTGGGAAGGGTTGTTTCAATGTGGGGGCTGGGCTAGGAAGGAGAGGTATCATTTTTTTTTAAAAAAAGTTTTATTAATTTTTTGGACCATTTAGAGCTTGACATGTGATAATTTAAAAAAAAAAGTTCACCTTTTCTTCTAGTTACCAGTCATTTGAACCTGATAAAAGAATACACCCCCTAAAGTTTGGATTATTAAAAAATAATTGATAGTTAGGATTAATCAAAGTAAATGATCCAAAGTTGGGATTAATAATTACAAATTTTCCATTTTCATATGTGACGCCACACCCTGTGGTCGGGGTTACTTGTAGGGGCTACTCATTTGGTCAGGGGTTACTTGTAAGGATTACTTTTTTTTTGTTAACTGGTAGGGGTTACTTAGCTTGTAACACCCCCAATTTACTAACTAATAATAAACAAGAATTAAAGGAAAAATAAACAACCTTTGAATAAAATTGCAAAAGCATTCACCTAAATCGGAGGTATTACTGTCACACTCAACAACCTGTCAAATGCTAAGGCTTACAAAATCCCAATAATTATAACTTAATAAACTAGGTGAGGTATTTATACAACTTTACAAACTTGTTATAAACACTAATCGAATCACTTGAGCTCCTTTAGCTATGGTCACTGGATTTAAAAATCTTGTTTGCTCACTATTAAGGACAAATTCAAGAATAGATCATCGCAAATCCACAATAAGAAAGGTCATGGCCGCAAATACAAGTAGCACAACAAAGAAACAAACAAACAAACACTTCAGCAAAAAGCTAAGTAATAACACACATCAGAATAAAAATAATAATGGGATGGTTAACGTTACTAGCTTAATCAAACAATGTAGTTCAAAACTACATTTACACATTGTACTATGAAAGTAACTTTTGTCAAACTCAACCTCGAATAACAATACGATCCTTTACTCATTTAACTCATCTATCCCATAAGTGTGTCATACTCTTTGTTCTATACCTAGCCTTAGAGATGGGTAATTTCATTAAACCAGTATAAAAACTTAAACACTCTCAATAAATAGAAAACACCTCTAACCAGACCAACATACGGGCCAATCCCACTGTAGGGGACCATAGAAAAATAAATAAATAAAGATTGTACCTCATTCTTAACTCATGATTATTATCTCCTTACAAACATGTCAAGGATTATGGTCTATAACACCGAACCTCAAACCAAGAACAAAATAATCATTTCAACCTGTTGATCTCATACATCGATCAAATAATCACTCACATATTCATAAGCAATATCTCAATAATGGTACATGTTCCCAAATAATATAATATAACGTACTTGATTCATAAAATTTTATCTCAACTCTTACAGGGTAATAATACTAATTTCCAAATATAATTAATTCTCTAACCTAAAATAATACTCTGCATTAAACCTCAAAAACAATACTCCATAGAGAAACAACATTATAAACCCTAACATAGTAGCATAATCAATCAATACGGTAATTAAATCATACTTCCTCCTTTTTTTAGTTGACACCGTTTGACTTTTATACTATTCACACAACACACTTTGACTCGCTTTTGTGGTTTATAGATACGATAAAACATATTCATGTAAATCTTGTTTAAATCGTTTCAATGTATATTTTATTAATATCCATTTTTTTTTATGATTTTACAATGTTGATAATTAGAGATATTAATCGTTCAAAACATGCGTTGGCATGCGTGATAATAGAAGGTGTCAACTAAAAAAAACAAAACAGAGGAAGTATAATACAATACACTAATCCATATATATAAATCTTGGTCACACAAATAACAATTCATAAAATTTATACAAATAATACAAATTACAATCAATACAAATGATAATCATATAACTAATATATAAAGCTAAACTTTTAGCCAGGTCACAACATTGCGACACTTGGCGTTCTAACTTTTCGCCAAGTGTCGCGCCACGTTAGATAGATTTAAATAGATTTTATAAGATAAAAAAGTTACTTTAGAATTATATTTGGATGGAATTTTAGGATAAAATTGTTAATTTAGAACTTTATTATCGATAAAATATCAATATGTATAAATTGAATTATAATTTTATCCAAAAAAATTATTAGATTATAATTCTCAAAAACTATCATATAAAATTTATTTTTTATATCATAATTTTTTTTTGAGCGAAGGAAGTAATTCAAAGCGTAAAATATCTATTTATAATATATACTAATCGGTTAAAATTATATACTTCACAATCTAATAGAATGGATACCTGCCAATTAGGGTTGGGTCATGAAACATCTCGGATTGGGTCACTTCAGGTTATGAGTCAAAAAATGTTCATCCCTTGCCCAAAGTTTTGGTTTCGGGTCAATCCGACGTTCTTTGAACATTTATTCTGTTGAGTTTATTTTTTGCTAATTTTTTTTAATTATTTTTTTAATGTATTAAAGCGAACATTTTCACCAACATTATCATTACATTTATTATTCATTACATGTTTACTAGATAGCAAATCGTCAGAAAAGCACATGAACTCCTAACTAATTTTGTATCAATGATATATTTTAAAATTTGACATATAGATTATAAATTTATCCTAAAATTCAATAAACAAACCGAGCATCGCACGGGGCACAAAACTAGTCTATAATCAAACAAATCCAAGAAATCGATAGTGTAATTACCTTTTTAACAAATTACAACCGTATTACGACATTCAGTTCAAATGTAAGAAACAAACCGAGCTACGTTGCAAATTGCAGCCTTCGTTATAACAATATAATGTGCAGCTTTCCTATTTGTTGCGCCCGTATTATCATACGACCCATTGTACTTAGGGCACCAGTACAAGATCAATAAATCGGCAAGAATACGCAAAACGACTTGATTGGAATAAACAAGGAAAGCAGCATCAAGCATATCAATCAAAGAGATACTTGCCAAAGGTACACCTACAGAGCAGGAAACAAGATAAATCAAGAAGATCTTATACATTTCAAAGATATTCTGAATATATCTGTAAACCCTAGAGATCCCTAGATATAAATAAGAAGAATGAGACATTTTAACACTCATGTACGTTCGCATATACTTAAATATAAACAATTTGCTCTACTTTTATCTACGGAATTGCATCCCTACTGAACAAGAAGGCCTATCCT